CTCCTCCTCCTTCGCCTTCTTCTTCTTCTCGTTCTCCTCCTCCTTCTCCACCTCCTCCTCCTCCTCGTCCCCCTGGTCACCCCGTTTTCTTCTCCACCCTTCCCCTTGTCCTGCATCGAGGCCCAGGCCGAAAATGCAGCTACATGTCTCGATCCCCTCGCAACCTGGCAGGACCTCTATCCCCTCGCAACCAGCTGCCTTGCACGATTCCTGCCTGGAGCCGGGGCCGCCACATCAGCGTGAAGGAATGCCTGTTCTGAGCGCCCCGCCCGCCCGCAGCCCCATCATCGCGGCCGCCCTCGTCTGCTGCGTGGCCCCCGCGGTGTTCATGCACCATCTCGCAGCCCGACCTCGGGCTTCCCGCGCCGTGCGACCGTTGGCGCCGCGACACCCCCAGAATGTCTTGCCCCGCCGGGGCTCCGCACGAACTCAGATGCCCACATATGTGGTTCGGCGGCGGGCGAGACTCCGGCACGCGGCCGTCAGAGCAGGGGAAGGGGTGGTTTTTGGAGGCCCAGGGGAGGGGAGGAGGGAGGTGTGGGAAGGGTGGTGGGAACCATGCCGTCGATGGGCAGCCGGTTGCGGCAAGGATCGGGTGAGGGCGTTTGGAGAAAGGGTTCGTTGTTGTCCTCCTCGCGCCCTCCCCTCTTTCTACTTTTGCTCCTCCTCCTTCTTCCCCTCCTCCTCCTCCTCCTCCTCCTTCTCCTCCTCCTCCTCCTCCTCCTCCTCCTCCTCCCTTCTCCCCAGTAGGCCGGGATCACCATACACGCCCCAACGCTGGTGCTGATGGTGCTGATGATGCTCGTTGTGCTGGTGATGATGGTGGTGGTGTTGGTGGTGATTATGATGCTGCTGGTGGTGATGGTGGTGGTGACGATGTTGGCGATGACGGTGACGATGATGACGCTGATACTGATGATGATGGTGGTGCTGGCGATGATGCTGCTGCTGATGATGCTGATGGTGGTGGGGGTGATGATGATGCTGATGCTGGTGGTATTGATGCTGACCAGGCCAATGGTACCTTTGTTGCTGAGGATGATGGCGATGAGGATGATGACGATGAATACGATGATGCTGATGGTGATGCTGGTGATGATGGCGATGACGAGGAGGAAGCTGGTGATGGTAATGTTGATGGTGATGCGGATGGTGATGGTCGTGGTGATGATGATGGTGATGCTACTACTGTTGTTGATGGTTGCGGTGGTGATGCAGTGCGTGATTGCGATGATGATGCTGGTGATGGTGATGATGATGATGACGTTGACGATGGTGATGATGCTGGTGATTTTGATGATGCTGATGGTGATGGTGCTGGTGATGTTGGTGGTGATGGTGGTGATGATGATGGTGATGATGATGGTGATGATTGTTGTGTTGACGATGAGGGTTTTGATGGTGATGATGGTGGTGATGATGCTGACGGTGATGATGATGATGGTGATGCTGATGGCGTAGAAGATGATGATGATGATCATGATGATGACGATGATGATTCTGACGGTGATGAGGATGGTGATGATGACGACGATAAGGATGGTGATCATGCTGTTGATGTAGGTTGTGATGCTGACGATGATGATGTTTATAATCATGATGCTGCTGAATATGATTATGATGATGTTGATGGTGGTGATGATGATGATGGTGAGGGTGACGATGATGCTGATACTGATGTTGATGATGATTAAAATGCTGGTGGTGGTGATAAGAATGATGCTGCTGATGATGATGACGATGATGGTGGTGATGGAGATTCTGACATGGGCGATGATTATGTGGCTGCTGGTGATGATCATGATGGTGCTGATGGTGATGGTGATGGTGATGGTGCTAATGATGTTGATGCTGATAATGATGATGATGGTGGTGGTGGTGATGATGATGCTGCTGATGATTAGGATGCTGGGGATGATGATGATGCTGCTGCTGAGGATGCTGATGCTGATGATGATGCTGATGCTGATGATGCTGATGATGGTGGTGATGGTGGTGGTGGAGATGATGATGATGCTGCTGATGCTGATGATGCTGATGATGATGGCGCTGCTGATTATGATGCTGGTGATGACTATGTGGATGATGATGATGCTGGTCACGACGATGATGATGAGGAGGGCGATGTTTATGATGATGATGATGATGTTGTTGATGATGATGCTGATGATGATGCTGATGACGGTGATGATGATGCGGATGATGATGATGATGATGCTGATGATGATGATGACGACGACGATGATGATGCTGATGATGATGATGCGGATGATGCTGCTGATGATGATGCTGATGATGATGTTGATGATGATGCTGTCGATGATGCTGATGATGATGATGCTGATGATGATGATGATGCTGATGATGATGAGATGATGATGATGATGATGGTGATGGCGGTGAGGATGATGATGATGATGATGATGATGATGGTGATGATGATGATGATGATGATGATGATGATGATGATGATGCTGATGATGACGATGATGATGATGAT